AATAAGAAACAACAAAAAACTTGCTTATCTTTTCTGAATTATTCTTCTAAGAGGAAGCATACAGTTCAGGTCTTTCCTGTCTTGCAATACCTGCCAAGACTAGGAGAAAAAATACAAGGTTTTAAAAGGCTACATAAACTTTACTTAAATACCATTGCAAGCAGTAAGCCTCACAGATCCACAAAAATAAGGTTGATATTTTTCCCCTTCTTGAAAAGATATGTTTTGGGGGGGTTTTATTTGTTTGTTTGGGTTTTGGGGGTGGTAGTTTTGTTTGTTGTTTTTGTTTTTAAGAAAAAATTCAGAAGTTAGACAAAATGAACCACTGAGGAAGGTACATATTTTCAAGAAGACAGTGGATTTGTGGAGACAGATACAGACATTATTCAAGCATCACATTGATATTCTTACTGCAAAATAATTGTCACAAATTCACAGATGTCAAAGTTCCTGATACAAGATATTATATTTCCAGAACTTAATTGTGTCTTTAAAATAGGTTACTTCAATTTTATTCTGTATTCTGTTGTGAATTCCAGGACACATCTGTAAGGTCACGAACCTGCAAGTAACTGCATTGATCCTCCTCTCTTTACCAGAATTCATTTAAACCACAATGTGTCATGAAAGCCACAGGAAGAATAATCTCTCAAAGGCAATGAGACAAACAGACTCCTTGGGCTTCTTAAAAAAAAAAAAGTTTTAAAAGTGCAAGATACTAATAAGCACTTACCTTAAGCAACTGTCATTCTTTATGGTTCCTCATAAAGAGGAAATTTTTCAGTACCATAGCACTCTAGTATACAGGCTTCCAGACAGCTAGGATCAAACAACTTTTATATTTTTCAGAAAATCACACAGGTTTGAATCCAATTTTTAAATTAAAAACTCTGAAGACAGAAATTCACTCTGATTTCACAGTACAGTGAGAAAGTTGAAACAAGTAGTCTGTAAGCCACTGCTTTAGCAGATGCCCAAAATCCAAGATTTTACCTAAAAGTACGTCAACAGTTCTGTGCTTTGTATACTAACATGGTTAAATACTCAGAGACCTCAGAAAACTAGAATTTGAGCTGCAATTTCAGATGTAATGTCTATGATAGGAGACAAGCACAGAAGAGAGCTGGCAGAAAGGAGTTTTAGGAAAAGGATGTTTAACCAAGGCCTAAGTCTTTGCTTGCTTCAAAGTGCCCCTATCTCCTCCATTGACTGAACAGTGAAAGCTTCACTTTGAAATATCCATGTTCTAAAATTATGAGTGCGGTCTCTAAAAGAAAGTACCAATTTAAATTCCATTTTCAGAAACCAGCAGAAAAACATTTCTGGCAATATTTATAAAGAAGGGATAGTAAACAAGTATAAAACATTGTTTATTATGAGGCAAATTCATGTAGGACAAAATAATGAACGAAGATAAAGTTGTAGTTCTAAAGCTATTAACTATTATTAGCGTTTTACACACAAAAGAAAACCTAAGACAAAGGGTTTACTATTTCAAGTACTTTTCTCAACCTAAGACTGATGCTTAATGTCAGACATTAATAAATACTCTGACTAAATAATTTTTCACACTTTTTAAAAATTATACAAAGCATTAAAATACTGATAACACAAACATCAGAAACAGGCAGATTATCTAACTAGCATTTGTATAACTATCATGAAAGCCAGTGTGATCAGAAAAAATAAATTCTATGTACTTCTTACCTTCACAAATTCAGCTTTGATAATATCGAACTTCAGTTTTTCATGTACAGCTCTAGCAGTGTTTGTCCTATCAAAGGGCTCTGCAAGATCAAAGACAAACATTAGAAGTGTTAAAAAAACCCTAGAGTGAGGCTATCTTCACTGACCAAGCAATCAGACAAAACCCAGAAGAGTTAACATACCATTGCTTCCCAACAGTGTTCTGAGTGGTTGATTCCACTTTACTTCTCAGTCTTTATTTCTACATGACATTCATCCAAAAGAAAGTTCCAAACCCTGAATGCTCTAATGATATGTAATCCATAATAAAGCCAAGTTATTATATCTATTGAAGCACACTATGATTGTGCTGAATTGATGCATCAGTAATTATTTGTTACTGCTTAATAGTGTGATGACATAAGAATATGATTTTTGCATATTAAAATTTGTTTTGAAATTTACTACACATATGCCTCTTGTAAGTATTCACTTTGGATTCATCTCATTCAACTCCTTCCCAGTGAAAAAGTACAGTAGAATATTTACTACAGCTTTTTACATAAAGGTGTATCAACTGCTGTAAAAATATATTTTATCAGTTCATACCCATTCTACAACATCAATTCACAAATTAACAATTTGGAGCTTCCACCTTCTAACAGACTACTAGTTTATGTGATATTTTTCCCTCCCTTTTTTCTCCTAACAATCAATACTTTGGAACTTGTTTTTTAATAATGGAAGGATTTAAAAAGTACTCCTTGCTACTGATAGGGTTGCCAAAATTAAAGCAATATATACTATAAAGTTATGATGCAGATACTATACATTACAATGCACTACAAAACAGATTTTATAGCCTTTTTTTGCCTTACTAGAGCACTGCTTAAGTAATATGATATTTTTCACACTGTCAGAATGTATGTAAGTCCTTATGTGCCACAGAACTACAGAAGTATTTGCTAGAACAGGTAGCTTTTTTGTTTACTTGATTATTAATTGCTTTTATTCACATAGGGACATGTACAAAAAAGAATTAAACAGACATCAGGAGGGCTTATGATATTATGGAGACTGGGACTTCAAATTTGGAACATGCTCCATGGCACTGGGTTTTTATTTCTGCAAGCTATTTAAATTCACAAAGAAACTGTTTCCTGCAATAAATGTTGTATTTGGCAGGTTTCTAAAAGGTTTCACTTCAAATCACCTATAAAGTTTTCAGTGGACATTTACAGGCAGATTTATTTCACTTTAGAATTCATCATACATTTAGATCAGAACAAAAAGCTGGCTATCAAATAAGAAAGGTACATAGTCCTCTAAAGTCAGTCACATACTTTGACACAGTGACCCACTGTCACCAAGAATTCCAAGTCCCTTATCATATGACACAGTACATTTCTTTTGTGTGTCTTGAATGTGATGTTAACTGTTCCTTTAATGCTAGGACCTTTATGTACTTTATGTTGAGTCAAGAGATATGTATTTTTTAAAGCAAAGAGAGCAAAGCTGTACAATCTTCAGAAACTGCCAGGGAGAAAAAAAGTACTCTAGTCACAAAAGCTGACTCACATCTTCCCTTTATTCTTTCTGCACATGTACTGACTGTCAAAAGACAAACTCACTCCCTGGAGCACGCAGCAAGAATAAATTTTGCAATCAGTTACTATTTACACCACTACATTTTCTGACCATCAAGACAGTAAGAGTTCATTTTAAGTTATTTTGTTCACACACAGAGATAAGAATTTGAAGAGAAAAAATGTAACGCAACTTCAACACTGATGCTTGAGGGAAAGGCTAATGGGGATCAACTTTCCAAATGAAAACGCAAGAAATCATAAACCTTCAGAACTGCTGCAAACCAAGCCCGGAGGAATTATTTTAGAATTATTTTTAACATGGGGATCTGAAAGATTTAAAAGTACAAGCATGAATCAGATGCAGCTTAGACAGCTTCTGATCCAGCTTCCCTAAATGACTATCAACTGATTAGTCTCACAAAACTGCCACATTCCTAGCTTTTTCAAACTGTCTTTCTTGACAGGAGAGTGTCTATAATTTCATATAGACAAGATTTAAACTGAAACCAGGATAGTTACTACCAATTCAGAGCTTGACGACAAGTGTTCACAAACACTAGCTAAAAGCAGTGTTTTCTGTATACCCATAATGGCAACAACCTGCCAGACTGACTGAAAAGAGCGTCTCTACTATATTTGTTACTCTAACAGCAGAAATTGAAGTGAGAATCAGTTTTAAGGCCAATAAAGATAAAAACAGAACACATTTTTTTCTTTGAGGTCCTAAATACAGTGCTACATCCATAATTATGGTAACTTGCAGGCACAGACTTGTATAAACTATCAAACATTTAAAATATTTTAAAATATATGCAATAGTACCAATTATTGAAATGTCAGTCTGCTAACTGGAAAATCTGACAAAGAATTGGAACCCAGAATACGCTGACATTTTTAGGTAGCTTTTAAAAGTTTCTTCTCAAAATACACAGAAGTTTATCTACATACTTTAACTAGTTCAGCTTAAAGTAGGCTTCATGTTTATAACTACTGTTGAGTTGAAATAGGAATTTTAAATTTTTCCTTCCAATTTAGAAGTGAAAACTTGGTATGTGAGGCTAAAACCTGCTCTTAATAAAGTCTTGAAGCATGCTGTAACAGGAAGGAATCAGATGTGCCTCCTATAGATAGTTTTGCTTTAATAGTCCAAATGCAAAATGTGCTGTATGTGATCAAGTCCATTTAATACAAATTTTAATGTGCCTATTTTGTATGCCAATACGCTATTTTTCAGTTCAACAGAAAGCAAACCTAACTATTCAGGCACTTTGTAATGTCATGAAAAAATTGAAAGCTTGAAACACACAGCTCTCCCACAACACAGCAGATCAGCATCGTGTGACAGCAGCAGGCACAGCTGCCCAGCATTCCCCCCTCCCACCTTCAGACCAGAGCCTTGGTGCCTGTACTAGGCTATCTCAAATGATTTCAGCTGTGCAGATACAGATTTCTCAACTCTGAGACTGCAGATTCTCACTTCCCTTTCTTACCTCTTTGCATTAACTGTTTCCAGTTATGCAGTACCTCTCTGTCCCCTCTGTCCTCTCACTGCTTCTCTTTTCATTCTCCTAACATCTCAGTCCTTCTCTTGGTCTATTGTCTTCTCTTTCCC